GCTGCGGAGGAGACTAAGGGTAACTGGATAAATAATTAAAAAATTCCAGAAATTGCCGGCCGGTTGCAGTGGCGCAGTGGTCATCAGTATTGCTTACCAGGCCGTTGACCCGGGTTCGATTCTTCTTGGGGTCACCTTTCATACCGTTCATTTTACGTTGTTTTACTATAAAAAAAAAAATTAAGTCTCACTGCCAGACACAGAGTATTTTAAGAAACCTGTCCAGCTGCCGAACATGTAGCCACAGCGTAAATTTTACACAAAAATTTGGATGTTGATGAAATCAGAACTCATTACTGCCCCAAATTCACCTGGAATAGAAATATGTTAAAAAAAGTTAAATTGTGGGTGATGTTTTAAAGCAAAGAACTTAATGAAATGGTGAGTAGCTCATCCAGCTCAGATAAGCTTTATACTTTTCTACCATGTGAGCTTTTCATTGTTTAGTCATCACACCTTGGGGTCAGCATATTTTATCTACGAACATCTTCTTATGAGGGGGAGCGGGAGGGGGAGGGAGATATCCTCTGATGGGACTGTTCCATTATGGAGATAACTCATCTTCCTGTCGGGGGTGTCCCATATGTGACATATGTCCATAAGGAATGTCTTTTTTGTGGTAGGGGTAACAAAAATCAATATTCCAGATTCCAATTGGACTGATGTGAGAGTTTTTTGGCTAAGTTGTACAGCATTTCTCACTAGTCAAACTTTATCTTTATTTTACTTGGTTATCAGGCAGCTGACATGCAAATTCCACTAGTCCTAGGTAATAATGGACAGGACTTTTGTTCTATAATTTCCATGCCCTTGATAATTTCTCAAAGGACTACATTGTAAGTTGAAGTGGTCAGATTATAAGATAGGGATAGAACCTAGGGGTTTGGTATGGGTCAGAGGTTATTGATAATTAATTACTACAACTATTTTGGGGAAAGATAATTATTAACTGTGTTGTTTTGTACATTTCACCTTTCAAGGTCATCTTCTGTTGGTTGCCAACGGCTTAGAATCTTATGCAAACATCTAGTAAGTGTTGGAAGAATCTGTAAAAGTTATTCTTTAACTTTTCTCAAAATTTGTAAAAGTAAAATACATTTGCTAAAGGTAAAAATGCATGAATTCCTAGAGAATTTTAGCATGCATTGATTTTGCTGTTTACATACCTAGTTTGTGGACTATCAATTATGCTAAACAAAGTCAGTCTAAATTGTCTGGGTGAGGATGGTTCTAGAAAGAACTGTAAGACTGTTAGTGACTGATGTTTTGACAACCTGAGCAGAAATCATCTTCAGTCAAGTGAATTGTGTTAGTCTGTCAATGATGTTATAAGTCTGGTCTGTTGAAAGTGATTGGTCAGTTTAGCCATGATGGTATTGGCTGGAAGACTCATGCAAAGTTTGACAGCAATCATTGGTGGGTCTAAATCAGTCTCAATAAGGTTTTACTAGTAACTTATATTTTTCTTCCTTGATTTCAGAGGATGTCATCTACCAGTGCAGAAATGGTATTTATAACCAGTTAACCAGTTTAATTACCTGAAACTCTAACTTGCCATATCCAGTGATATCTTCATAACATGTGATATGTAAATCTGTTCAAATATTCAGGATACAGAGGTATTACTTGAAATAAAAAACAAAGTCGGCATGATCACACTGAATCGTCCAAAGGCACTGAATGCTCTGAATCTGAATATGATCAGGCAAATCTATCCAGTATTAAAGGTAAGAAAAAATTGTAACATTTGAGGTTTTCATTAACGGCTGGGTACGGGGTAAATTGACCGGCTGTGAGGACAATTTCTCCTCAAGCAGTTGTCCTCTTACTGAAAATGTTAATGACACCTCTGAAACTTATGCTGGTAGAGCATAATGACTTTCTCCTTTTCCTTGACTTCAGCATAAACATACTTCACCTGACTCCACTTTTAGCCATAACCCCCTTGGGGTATTGGGCCAAATACCAACATGCACTGTCCATAAAAAGCAAGTCACTTCCTTCTGTAGTGTAATCTAATTTCTTTTTTGCTAACTAGAGAATTGATTTATTTTACAGAAATGGGACGTGGATCCAGCGGTGGGTTTAGTTGTGATCAAGGGAGCTGGGGACCGTGCTTTTTGTGCAGGCGGTGATGTGCGAGGTAAGCTGGAATTGATTTATTGAACAGCTGAAACCTGTCTATCTTGTGTACTTTATCTGATTCATAGAACTGGAACAGACATGGTTCAAGCCTTGGTGGTGGTGGTGGGAGGGGAGGGGAGGGGAGGTTGGGACTCCCATATAAAAAGGAGAGGGTTGCTCATCAGAAAGTTTGAAAAGAATCCCTAAGAGGTACCATGATCCTGTTTTGTGGGCGTGGCTTGAAATTCTCTTTATCCCTAAGAGGTACCAATTCTAAAACAACACATTAACTGACCCCTTCATTATTTTTAAAAATAGTGATAAAGATGATTACTTCAAAAAACTTCTAGTTATAAAGTTGATTTTCAGATATCTCCTGTCATCCTAAAAGGTATGGCAAAAGCTCCCGCTGTGGACCATTTAAGGCTGAACACCCTAAGCAGTACCAAAACTGCATTTTTCCACCGCTAAAAGGTATAGGAGTTCCCTTCTCAGGCGGTTGAAGTCAAAATCTGAACAAATTTTATTGCATCAAAATTTACAGCAGTTGCAGATGCTGGAAAAAAGGGTGATGAGCTTACCAAAATATTCTTCAAAGAGGAATACATGTTAAATTATGCCATAGGTAAGTTACATTTTGTTTAATAGTGAAGATTGTATATATATATGCAGCAATGGTCCTGTCTTCTAGAAAGCAACAATTGTAATACTTACAGGTAACATACTTAATTCAGTTACATGTGTAATTTCTCAGCACTTGGTAGATTCTGGTCAAAAGAATGAAAGCTATTCAGGAATTGTACAATTTTTTTCTGT